ACAATGGGCTCAAGTATGTGAGGATGGCGCAGGACCCAGAGGAGTTTATTCCCTTGTAAATAGGTCTCTATGAATAGAAATAAACTCTATGGCACATAAGAACAATAATATGTATTGAAAACTGTTGTTGTTGTTCTTATGTGCCGTCAAGTTGGACCCGACACATAGTGACCCCTCCTTGGGCTTCCGAGGCAGTATCACTATGGAAGTAGATTGCCCAACCTTCCTTCTGAGGACTGGCTGGTGGGTTTGAACCATCAGCCTTCTGGTTAGCAGTCAAGTGCATTAGGCACTATGCTACCAGAGCTCCCACATTGAAAACTACTAAGAGATAATTTATATTGGTTCAGACTCCATATTTCATTTTTTTATGTAATGCAACAGTATATTCATGCCTTTGGAAAAGAGACAATCCTGTGCATCATATCCATAAATGCTTTTTTCACTTTTTGGTTCCTCAGAGTGTAGATGAAAGGGTTCAGAAGTGGTGCAACTGAGGTATTGAGCACCGCAATTCCCTTGGAGAATGATATTTTCTGTTTGACTGAAGGTTTAACATACATGAAGATGCAACTGCCATATGAAAGGGAGATCACAATCATGTGAGAAGAACATGTAGAAAAAGCTTTTTGCCTCTGACTAGTAGAAGGAATTTTGAAAATTGTCAGGGCAATATAGGTGTATGATATCATCACCATTATCAACGTGACCAAGAGTGTCACTGAAGCTGAAGTGAAAGCCAACATCTCAATGAGGTGCGTGTCTGAGCAGGAGATCTGCAGGAGGGGAGTAGTGTCACAGTAGAAATGATCAACAACATTGGAGGCACAGAAGTCAAGCTTTAGACCTAAGAGAAGTGGTACAAAGATGGTAAAGAACCCAGCAACCCAACAGCTGAGGACAAGCTGTATGCAGATTTTGAGGTTCATGATGGTTGTATAATGCAGAGGCTTACAGATGGCCACATAGCGGTCATATGACATAGCTGCCAACAGGTAAAATTCAGATGCTCCAAGAAGGAAGGCAAAAAACACTTGTACGGCACAACAGTTATAGGAAATTGTTTTGTCCCCAGTTGCCATCATAACCAGCAGCTTAGGGATGCATGCAGTAGTATAAGAAATTTCTAAGAAGGAAAAATTCTGAAGGAAAAAGTACATGGGGGTCTTGAGGTGAGCATCCAGCAGGGTGAGTGTGATGATGATCAGATTGCCAATGATGCTTAGCAAGTAGGTGATAAGCAAGAAAATAAATAATACAACTTTCCATTGTGGGTCATCAGTCAAACCTACTAGGACAAACACTGTCACTCTTGTATGGTTTCCCATTATAGTCCCCTGACTTTTACCATTTCTAAATAGGAAAAAATAAAGAATAACATAAAAAAATACTCAGACTACACTTGGATGTTATGAAAGGACAACTGTCACAACTAGTGTTTTAGCTAAAGTCAGCACAGCAATG